GTGGTGTGGGTGGTGGTGGTGGTGGTTGTGTGTGTGTGTGTGTATGTGTGTGTGCGTGTGTGCGCGTGTGCGCGTGTGCTGTGGCATGGCACGGGAAATGGCGCCAGCGCTGCAGCGGGAACACGAGTCGAAATGGGCGGAAGCGCGGAAATGAGGCCAGCGCTGCAACGGGAGCACGATTCGGAACGAGCGGAAGCACGGAAATGAGGCCAGCGCTGCAGCGGGAGCACGATTCGGAACGAGCGGGGCCCGAAAATGAGGCCGGCGCCTCAGCGAGAGCAGCATTTTGAAAAAAAACACAAGCGAAAACCCGTTTCCCGGGAATCCTGTGTGTAAAAAAACAATACGCGGGGGGGTGTCGGATATCTTCGGGACGCCATCAGGGGAAGTGGGAGAGTTTTTCATATTGTGTAATTGTAGAGGGAGGAGGAGGAGGAGGAGGAGGAGGAGGAGGAGGAGGAGGAGGAGGAGGAGGAGGGGGGAGGAATTGGATGAGGAAGGCGAGGAGGAGGAAACGGAGGGGGGAGGAGGAGGAGGAGGAGGGAGGAGTAGGAGAGGAGGAGGAGGAGGAGGAGGAGGAGGCGGAGGAGGATGATGATGATGAGGAGGAGAAGGAGCAGGATCAGGAGGAGGAGCAGAGGAAAAGGAGGAGGAGGAGGAGGGGAGGATGATGAGGAGGAGGAGGAGGAGGAGAAGGAGGAGTAGGAGGAGGAGTAGGAGAGGAGTAAGAGGAGGACGAGGAGGAGGAGGAGGAGGATGAAAAGGGGGATGAGGATGATGATGCTGATGCTGCTGAAGATGATGCTGCCGCTGATGCTGATGATGATGAGGGTGACGATGATGATGATGCTGACGATGAGGAGGATCATGATGAAGATGATGAAGCTGATGCTGCTGATGATGAGGAGGAGGATGAGGAGGAGGATGAGGAGGAGGAAGAGGAGGAGGAGGACGAGGAGGTGGAAGCGGAGGATGATGAGAAGAAGGTGGATGAGGAGGAGGGTGAGGAGGATGATGATGATGCGGAGGAGGCGGAGGAGGAGGAGGAGGAGGAGGAGTATGATGACTCGTTTGTGGTTCGCCTGCGGGCACAGGGAGGTGGAGGATGAGGAGCATGAGGAGGAGGAGGAGGAGGAGGAGGAGGAGGAGGAGGAGGAAGAGGAGTATGATGATTCGTTTGTGGTCCGCCTGCGGACGCCAGGGAGGAGGAGGAGGAGGAGGAGGAGGAGGAGGAGGAGAAGGACGAGGAGGAGGACGAGCAGGAGGACCAGTGTAAACCCAAGAGAACCATGAACGATGTTGGAGTACAGCCTCCCCCCAAGCTTCTTTTGTTTCCATAAGCCCCTACAACGGTTCATTTCCATTGATTGAACTGCGTCGTTGGAAATCACCCGTTTGAAGACCGTGGAGCATGCCACCACCTGGATTCGGGATTTCAACGCCACGGTTCAACATGCTTGTTACGTTTTGACGACCCTGAATCGTGCCAGAATGCCAGTCGTAGGACTTTAACACAGAGAAGCAACGTAAGTGTTGCACCCGCCTAATCCTGAACCCTTCCGAAACACATATTCTGGCACGTTGATGATGGGAAGCCGTGAAGCTCTGGAAATTTCTGTAAGCGAACGTGCGCGGCGCTTGGGCGACAAGCACATTTTGAAAGAAGAAACGCCCTCAATCCGTGAAGCTCTTGCCATTTTTAATGCGAATGTGCGCCGCGCCACGGCGAGAACCATTTTGAAAGCCACCCGCCCTCAATCCGTGAAGCTCTTGCCATTTTTTAATGCGAATGTGCGCCGCGCTAAAGCGAGAGTCACAATTTGGAAACCACCCGCCCTCAATCCGTGAAGCTCTTGCCATTTTTTAATGCGAATGTGCGCCGCGCTAAAGCAAGAATCACAATTTGGAAACCACCCGCCCTCAATCCGTGAAGCTCTTGCTATTTCTTAAAAAAAGCGAATGTGCGCGGCGCTAAGGCGAGAACCACATTCTGAAAACCACCCGCCCTCAATCCGTGAAGGTCTTGCCATTTCTTAAAAACGAATGTGCGCGGCACTACGGCGATAAACACATTTTGGAAACCACCCGCCCTCAATCCGTGAAGCTATTGCGAATTTCTAAAACGACTGTGCGCAACGCCAAGACGATTACCACATGTTGAAAACCACCCGCCCTCAATCCGTGAAGCTCTTGTTGCAAATTGAAAAAAAAGAATGTGCGCCGCGCTAAAGCGAGAGCCGCATTTTGAAAACGACCCGCCCTCCATCCGTGAAGCTGTTGCCAATTTTCAGCTTCAGAGTTATAAGTGGTTAGGAAGTGTCAAGCGAAACGCCCGGCCCGCCCTAAAAACTTGCCGCGGGGTGCGACAGGGAGAAGTGATGTATAAGGAAAAAGAACTTGGGAGGAGGAGGAGGAGGAGGAGGAGGAGGAGGAGGAGAAAGAGGAACAGGAGGAGGAGAAGGAGGAGGAGGAGAAGAAAAAGGAGGAGGAGGAGGCGGAGCTGCCCCCGGAGGGGAGGTCGACAGCCTGCCGCAGGGCCTTGGGAATCGAGCGAGCGAGCGGGAGGGGGGGCGACCCGCTGATGGCCGCTCGTCTCTCCTGTTGGAGAGACGATGCAGGTGGAACATGAGCGCCGCGCTCCGAACCGAGTCGAACGATGGTTCGACGAGGGCGAGGGCGACGAGAGGAACGCCAAGGAGAGGGCGGCCAAGGGCCAGCCTCATCAACTTCATCTGAACTGCTGCTTCAGGCTGTCGGGGGCATCGTATCCCAAGCAGCATCGACGGTCAACAGTCTGGAGGCGAGCATCTGTTGCCCAACCCCCGAACCAGCTCTTGACGCACGCGCGACGCCAGCTCGGGGGGGCATTCCAGAGGACCCTCCCTGCTCGGTCCAAGCCACCGCGGCAGCCTCCACAAGGGAAGCGTCGAGCCATTTGAGGGGCCTCGTCCGGGCCAGGCCCAGCAGATTCCCATCCCCAGAGGCCTGCGGGCAGTTTGAATCTCGCGCTGGACACGCATCCCCCCCCCGCCCCCCCACCGCCCTGAGGAGAAGAGAAAAGACGAAGGGCGCCGCTCTTCCCGAGCAGCTCGCGCCCTGCCTTCGCGGTGGCGAGCCCCCCCCGGAGTTCTCTCGTTCCCCCCGCAGCACGACGCGAAGATTCGTGCTCGGATGCCCGCGCGCTGAACTCCGTCAGACGCACCTCTGACCCGCGCGCCCCCCGGAGGCCCAGGGTGACCGAGTCGGGTTTCCAAAGCCTGGGAGGGGAAGTTGCCCTGGCCCTCGCCTTGTCAGCGCGGCTCTGGCACGGCGCCTGTGCTGACTACCTACCAGACCACCCCAACCCAACCCGAAGACCCGAATTTCGGGTTGGGGGGGGTAGGGGTTCCACACGTGTTTTTTCGATGTTCCGCGACCCCCCCCACTGGAAATCGAGGGTAAATCTGAGCCTTCGGGTTGGGTTGGGGTGGTTTGGTGGGTGGTGGCCTGGGCATGCCGCGTGGCCGCGGTGAAAGCGAACTTCGCAGCCTCGCCCGCGGCCCGAACGCGTTCTTCCCAAGGGTGCAGCGGCCCGCCCCCTCTCTTCGGGCGACGGCCGCAACGAGCAGCAACCCTCCTCCCTCCTCCCTCCTCCCTCCTCCCTCCTCCCTCCTCCTCCTCCTCCCTCCTCCTCCTCCTCCTCCTCCTCCTCCTCCTCCTCCTCTTCCTCCTCCTCCTCCTCCTCCCTCCTCCCCCCTCTGGTCAGAAGCACCGCTCCGCCGCATGCGCTGCCAGGACTGGCTGACTGCTCGGGCTGACTGCGATAGAGGAAAGAGAACTATGCACATACACCGATTCTGGCCAGGTTCATCCTGAGCCCAGGATCGGTGCATACGCCCTCCTGCCTTGGCCAGGAAGGCATATGCACCGATCCTGGGTCAAGGATGGGCCTTGCCAGGATCGGTGCATGTGCATAGTTCTCTTCGCCCGATGCGAGGGGGTTGGCGACGGCGGAGAACGGCAGCATTGCATTGCACAGCGGGTGGAGCACCAGGTCCCTCAATCGCGATCTTGACCAGCGGTTGCCACGCCGCGGGGAGGGCGTCCTCTGGCTGGCCGGGGCCGAAAGGGACAACGAATATGCGCTCCGAGAGCCCCTCCTCGAGCGCGTGGCGCATCTGCGTGAGCGCGATCTCGTGAGTCACCTTGCGGGAGGTCTTGTCTTGGCTGAGAGAGAGCTGCGCGTCGTGGCCTGTCGGGGTCGTGGCCGAGACCTGGCGACGGGCGCCGGCGGGGCCGCCGCCGCGGAACGAGGCCGCGAGCTCGCGGACGCCACGCCCAGCGAGGCCCGCGCCCCCTGCCATCCTGACCATGAAGCGCTGTCCCAGGTCCTCCCCCTCAGCTCGAGAAACATCGGCCAGCTGCGCGTCGGCCAGCGCGGGGGCCATGGCCTGCGCGACCGCCGCGCGCGTGAGCGGGCGCTTGGATGTGACGGCCAGCGCCGCGCTGTCGATCTCTCGGCTCCAGGCTGGCCCAGCCTTTGGCGGCTGCGGGGCGCCCGCTGCTGCCGCCGCTCCGAGTTTGCGCTGCATCTGCGCCAGGTCGGCCGAGTTTTTCGTCAGCATCTTGTCAGTCTCCTGCTGCCTCCTCTGCAACTCGTCCTCCACGGGCCTGATGTCGTCGGCCTGATGCTGCTGGACTCGCTTCTTCTCATGGCGGCTCTCCAGGAGCGCCGTGCGACGATCCAGCGCCCGCTGGATGCCCCCAAAACTCCTGTCAACCATGCGGAAGAGGCGGTCCTGGCCGGGCCGCGCCTTCTCGAAGAGCGATTCGCGGAGATCCTCGATGGTGGCCGCGGACTCCACAGAGACATCCTCATGCTCCTCGGGATTGTCCTCCTCGTCCTCCTTCGGCACAGGCGTGGCGACACCTCCGAGAGGCGTGCCAGGAGCCGATCTCGGAGCCCTAAGTCTCGCAAGCGCAGCGCCCAGGCCCGCAGCCGCAGCAGCCCGCGGGTCGTGCGGCACAGCAGCGGCGGGGGTCGGCGACGGCAGCGTGCGGCAGGTGGCATCCATCGCCACGAAGGCCTCGAGCTGCTGCTGCTGAGCTGCCGCCAGCGCTGCTCGCTTGGCCGCCTCGCGGTACTCCTCCTGTGCTCTCGCACGGCCGCGGGACTCGCGCTCACCGCGCTTGCGGCGGAGCCGCTCGGCACTCCTCGAGTGGTCGCGGGAAGGTGAGGAGGAGCCGCGCTCGCCAGATCCCGAGGAGGGGTCGCGACGGCCGTCATCCTTGCCAGTAGCAGTGCCACCAGCCCCATCCACAGCAGCGTCGACTCGCATGGGCCCCATCTGAACACAGGCCCGCGCAGGAACAGGAAATGCCTCAATTAAACCCGCGCGAGCCTGTGCCGGTGCGAGAGACGAGTCGTTGCTCCAGCAGGCGCTCACACGATCTTCTTGCTCTGGCCGCGGACTAGCGGTACCCACTCTCTGCCCGAGGGGCAAGGGCATCTGTAGCCAAACTTACAAAGGCTACGGGAGGAGGAAGAGGAGGAGGAGGAGGAGGAGGAGGAGGAACAGGAGCAGGAGGAGGAGGAGGCGGCGGCGGAGGCGGAGGAGGAGGACGAGGAAGAAGGGGAGGAGGGATCTCTTCCTCCTCGTCCTCCTGCCCCCCCCTCTCTCGAGGCCGCGACCTCGGTCTCCGGCCTCTCCACGAGCTCGCCGCCGTGCAGGTCCTCATTGAAGGCCGCGGGCGGCGGGCGGTGCGCGGCCAGGAGGCACAGCAGGCACACATGATGTAAGAAATGCTGAAGGGCCCTGGGACACACAAATAAATATCAAATATACACAAATAACAGGATTCCATGTATAGCTTCCAATATTTTCTAAGTTTTTGTCTTCCCCCCCACTTCCAATATTTCCCAATATTTTCTTGCAAATCGACAATTCATTGTGTCTCTGTGTTTTTTCCCTCCTGAAATTCATCGACCACTTAGGGTTCATCGGCGTGTGAGATGCTCCCCCTTCCACAGACCTAAGACGAAGCCCGAACGAGGATAACATCGGGTGATGACAATGCAAGAATCCTCGAGGTCCGGCGACTCCGGAGGATGTCTTGGGCGTCGCGCCTTCTCAGAGCGTTCCAGAACGCTCTGGATCGGACGTATCCTCGCCGTAGCCCCGTCCGACCCAAAACTCTCCCCCCAGGAGCCCACTCCAGTCGATTTGGAAAGAGGGGGGTCCCCTGGGGCCCGGTTGAACGCATCATGGGGTGAGAGTGGGCCCCGAAACGGGCCAAGAGGGCCCCAAGAGGCCCCCCGGACGGTCCAAGAGGGCCACGAGTCGCAGAAAGATCGAGGTCTCCAGACCCTCAGCACGCTCCAAGAAGCCCCTAAGAGGCGTCCCAAGAGGGCCTCCAACAGCAAACATCGCCCCCCATGCTCTCTAGACAACGTACCTTTTTGACACATTCACTTCTTCGGCGCTCACGACGTCCAAGAGGGCCCAAAAGGTTTTCAACAAGATGCTCCAAGACGGCCCAAGAGGGCCCCAAGACGGCCCAATAATCCCACAAGGCGGCCCAGGAGGGCCCAGGACATCCCCCAGAAGGAACCCAGAGGGCGAACCCGAACGGATATCTCGAGCCTTCGACCCCAAGACGCTCCCTGGTTGCCCCAAGAGGCCCCAACAGGCCCGGGCGCCCCAAGAGGGCTGCAAAAAGCCCCAAGAGGCCCCCAAAAGGTTCAAAACCTGCCTCCAAGACGCCCCAGAGACGCCTCCCACGAGACCCCGTCAGCCATCCGAGTGGCAGACCCGCAACCCAGGCACGGTGGCGGGATATGCCGAAGGCCATTCGATCTGCCGCCCCCTGTTGATTCATCACAAGGGTGCCTGGCGTGCTGAACTTCTTACGATTTCGGTTTTGGTTTTTTCCCAAAAGAACTCTCCCAGTGGGCTCCAGCGCGTCCCGCCGGGGTCCCGGGAGGATGCCGAAAGATCTTCCAGAGGTGGTTGCAAAGGGTTTTCCGTTCCAGACGGCTCCAAGATGGCCTAAGTTGGCCTCCAAGACGGCCAAGATGGCCTCCAAGACGGCTAAGATGGCCCCAAGATGCCTCCAAGATGGCCCACGATGCACCCAAGACGGCCTAAGATGGCCTCAAGATGGCCCAAAACGGCCCAAGAGGCTCCCAAGAGGCCTCCAAGACGGCCCAAGAGGCCTCCAAGAGGTCCTCCAGGAAGGCCCGGACAGGCGAAAATCATTGATTATCATTAGGCTTTTGAAAGATTTTGGCATTTGCGCCTTTTCGGCTTTCCGTCGGCCCAAGACGGCCCAAGAGGCCCCCAAGATCGCCCCCACAGCGCCAAAGAGGCCTCCAAGATGGCCTCAGGACTGCCCAAGAGGCCCCCAAGACGGCCCCAAGAGGGCACAACAACGACCCAAGAGGCCTCCAAGACGCCCAAGATGGCCTCTAAGACGGCCCCGAAGCGCCCCAAGAGGGCCCCAAGTCGGCCCGGAGAGGCCCCCAAGACGGATCCCGACGGCGTCAGATGTGCCAGGAGCCCACCAAGACGGCCGAAGATAGCCTTAAGATGATCCACGACGGCCCAAGAGGCCTCCAAGAGGGCCTCCAGGAAGGCCCGAAAAGGCCAAAATCATTCACTTCCCACGAGTTTTTGACGAATTGTGGCATTTGCTTTTTTTCGGCCTTCGGACGGCCCGAGACGGCCCAAGTGCCCCCCAAGATCGCCCAAGACGGCCCCAAGAGGCCCCCAAGACGGCCCAAGAGGCCTCCAAAACGCTCAAGATGGCCTCCAAGACGGCCCAAGAGCCCTCCAAGACACAGTCCACATGCGTTTCCCCCACACAGAAAAACGTTTCGTGGCCCATAGGGAGCTCCACCGAAGGCCCTAATGGCAGAGCTCGCATGCGTTGTCCCCACCCAGTACAGCGCTTCGTGGCCAAATAGGGAGCTCCACCGAATGCCCCAGTGGCAAAGTTCGCAAGCGTCTCCCCCACCCAGTACAGCGCTTCGTGGCCCCATAGGGAGCTCCACCGAAGGCCCCAAGGGCAAAGTTCGCATGCGCCTCCCCCGCCCAGGACAGCGTTTCGTGGCCTGTAGGGAGCTCCACCGACGACGCCCACAACTGCGGCATTTCGCCAGGCCAATTTCATGACCCGGGGGAGTCTGGGACCGAGAAGACAGAAAGAGAGACCTCCAAGACAGCTCAGAGGCAAGGGCGGCCAACCGCCTCCCGTGTTCTTTCCACGGCGCTGCGGGGCCTTGGCCCGAGGACCGCCCGAGAGCTTGCGGGGGCACCCAGGAAGATCCGAAGCGGCCGCGAAAACATTTTTGGAATATCGGGAGAAATCACGACCTTGAAAAATCCGCCGACCCTGTCGGCGTGTGGAAGAGGCTGTTCCGTTTGACTGGTCGTCGGGCCCTCCTCCTCGAGCGCGCCGGCCACAGCGAAATTCAGCAACTTTGTAGTTGAGTCGAAGGGAAACCCCTTCCCTTTGAACCCTTCCCCGCCCGGAGGGGGGGGTGGGGTCCCGGGGGCGGAGTCCCGGGGGGGTCCCGGGGGGATCCCGGGGGTTCCTGGGGCAGATGCGACTCCCCCACTCCCCGCCACTCCCATTTCCCTCCCTCTCCTGACCCTCCTTTTCCTCTTTCGGCCACGGACGCGCTGCCCAAAAACAGCTGGTCGTCCATCGTCGTCGTGAGAGTCGTAGTCGTCATCGTTGTCGTCGTGGTCGTGGTCGTCGTCGTCGTCACGTCGTCGATGTCCACCATCAGCCTTTCCGGGGAACCACCCCGGACAAGAGTATGTGTGCGCCCTCCCCCCTGGTTTTCCTCAACCTCGTGAGCCTCCCCATGCTCGCCCTCCTCCTTCTCCTCCGCCTCTGCTCCCGCTCCTCCTCGGCCTCGGGCTCGTCCTCTTCATCCCCTTCCTCTTCCCCCTCATTACATACCATCATCCTCACGTTCCTACTCCTCCTCCAACTTCTCCTGCCGCCGGTTTTACCCCCCCCCCTCCCTCAACGACATCATCATCGTCATTATCACCGACATCATCCGCGTCGTCGTCATCATCGTCAACATCCTTGTCATTGCTTTCCGTCTCCTGCTGCTCATGCTCGCCACGCTCTACCCACCGCTGCCCCTCCTCCTTGTCAGCCGTCCTTCTCCTGCATGTGCGTCCCTGCTCGCATCGCCCTCCCCCCTGCTCTCCCCCCCTCCTCGTCTTCTCCTCCTCGTCCCTCTCCCCCCCCTCCTTGTCCTCCTCCTCCCCCCTCGCACCTCCTCCTCCTCCTCCTCGCCCCTCCTGCTCCCTGGCGTCCTCCGCCACCTGCTCCTCAACATCCTCGTTCTCCTCGTCGTCGCCGTCTTCACGGTCGGCGGCACCGGCCGTATGACCTTCGCACTAGATGGGGAAAACTATAAGGACAAAGGACAAACATATGGGCCTTGAATTATCCGAAAAATCGCGACCTTGAAGTATCAGGAAGATATCGGGAACAAATATCGGGAACTTGAAACATACAACCTCTAGAGGCCTCCCAGATGGGGCAGGAGTAGATGGGGTCGAGAGATTGAAAGATCAGCGAGGCGCCCAAGACGGCTTCCGACGGCGCCCGAGGGGCCCGAGCACCATCGGGAGCACCTTGGATCGGCGGCACTGGCCGGAAACCACTAGTTACAGTATCGTGAAAAATCCCGACCGGAACCTTTCGAGGCCTCCCAGATGGGGTCGGAGTAGATGGGGTCGAGGGACCGAAGGATCGCGCCGTATCCATGACACTTATCGGCGATGCATCGGCGCCGCCGGCATGGCGAAAATCAGGCTCCGCATCGAGCCGCATCGCCGATGCATCGGCGATGCGGCGCGATCCTCCGGCCCCATCTGCT